TTTTCAGGACTTGTGACCGGCTGCTCCCGCGCCTTTGTTTTTGTACCTCCTGCTTAAACTTGGTGCATTCACTATCCAGGCGGCCAAGTTGACCACCGCCTCGCCAGGCTTATTGTTTGGAATGGGATTTATGGCTTCCAGAATTCGTGCCCTGGCCGTGGGGGTTCCCACGGGTTGATTTCCACTTGTGTTGTTGCCACCTGGAGTAATTTCGATTTTAGTCGACCTTCCTTCCTTACGTTGCATTTCATACCTACTGCCAGGTTGTTTGCATTTTATACCCGCTGCCAGGTGTTGTGACTGCCGGCCAATATGACACAGACGCAGACCACGCAGCCGCCCAGTATGCGTCAGACGCTACGTGGATTTTTGGCGATAGGATCGCTGTGCGCGGATCGAGGTTTCCGCCGGTGGCCGCGGATTTCCCCACGACTTTCCGATGGGGGTTATACCGCCTCTACTCGGTCGCCAGGGCCCCGTTTCACGGTTTCCGCGTTAGCGGGTGGTTGGCAATCAGTCAGCTCCTTAACATTTGGCACCAAGAAGACCTCTGCCATGCAGAAGTGATGTCACTCGTTCGATCCCGGACTCCTTGCCAAGAAGTTCGAGCAGCCGCCCTCAGATGTATGCTACTGCTGAGCGCCGATCGACAAGTGCCACCTGTAGAATGTAGCCATCGTCAGCTAGCAGCAACGCACAAATGTAGGCAATATATTCCTACGCTAGGCGCCGCACCAACACGACATCTACATGTAGGTTCTCAATCTAACATGGCAGGGAGCTTTTGTCAGCTTGCCCTGCGATCAGCTGATTCCTTTGACGTTATGCAACACGGCGTGGGAAGCTGAAGAGAATGTGCAACATCAATATTTTCCCGCCATCTAGAAGCACTCAAGAGAGTGTTTCTTGGTGCCGCTGGATTCCCGAGAAATCTCGATGTCGGCCTGGATGCCTACTGGACTTTTTCAGCGGAGCGCTGCATTCCGCACCTTCACTCACTGCACACCCAACTCACTCAACCTGTGGCGGCGATGGACGAGCCCAGGATTTGGGAGGAGGTCCCCCGAGGTGTGCCCTCGGAATCCCCGGAGAAGAGGCTGACCTGACGCGTGGGGACCCAGCGACACCGAGCACAGGGCCTTCCACACCGACGGTACGGAAGGAGAAGTCGCTGGAGAAGGGACCCTTGGTGTGGCCCGAGCAAACGGTCACCCGTAGACCCCCGCTGTTGGACGCCCGGAGTGGCGCGCCCGCTGCTGCAGTTCACCCGGCAAGTGTCGGCCCCGGAGGAAGGCGGTTGGCGCGAGATAGCCCGGAGCGAGTGGCCGGAGCGAGTGGCCGGAGCGAGTGGCCGGAGGGAGTCGAGGAAGCACCGCCGGTCGCGACGGCGCTGCGGAAGGGTAGCAGGTGGTGCGTCCTGGTCACCGAGGGCGGACGGAGGTACCGGGTGAGGTTGGGAGTCGCTGTCATCCGTGTGATCGCACAGTAAGAAAAAAACAAAATAATAAATTCCCTAGAAGCACGGAGCGAAAGATATTGATTGGGGACGAGGGTACGGTGCTGGAGAAAAGAAAAAGAAAGGGGCATACATGGTCAGCTACAGCAAGAGCGAAGAGAAAATAAGAGGTTGAGCGCATACCAGGAAACGTGAGGAGTTTTGGTACTTACCTAGTGCTAAGGTCGAAGGGTAATGCCAAGCGGATGAAAGCTAGATCCTCTCTGCGCTCTCCAGTTTGCCACCAGCCCAGCGAAGGAGGGGTCTAGCGTGTAAAGGGCAACTGAAGGGCACAAGGAGAAATGAGTGAAGGAAAGCAAAAGAAATGCGAGATTTCTCACCAGAATAGAGGAATTTCGCTGCATCACCATTGCCTAGGGAAAGGGGCGGTTGTCACTAGACGATAGTGGCGATCGATGGGCGCAAGAAATTTTGAAAATATCAGCAAAAGGTGACACATCGCAACGAGCAGGTGGCAACGCTTCACTATCGGTATCGATCACGCATAGGGCGGAACTGGAAGGAAGAGGAAGAGCGACAAGACGTAAAGGCTAAACAAAGGACTCACAGGATAAAGCCGGAGAGAGAGATCGAGTTTCTTTTCGTCACCCGAAGAAAGCGGGGAATGTAAGGAGTTAAATAACTCCCCACATATAGAACAGAGATCGACTGTACGGAGGACTACCAGCTGCTGGATACGCAGCGAATACGCGTAGTAACGGTACTGCGGGAAAAGAGAGTGCAGTGAATACAATGCGAGAGAGTTTGGAGACTTCGGTTGAGAGAGCTTGGAGAATTCGGTTCGAGAGATCTTGGAGAATTCCGTTCGAGAGAGTTTGGAGAGTACGAAGAAATAGAAATTTGAGAGAAAGAGCGAAGGGTTAACTGTAGATCGCCGCGCTTGGTACCCTAGTGTGGGGCCCTGTGCAGAGGGCGAAAGATCGAACGGCAAAACCGCGGACTTTAGACCCTGAAGTGGTGCCGTGTGCAGATGCCAAGAATTAACGGTACCAGGAGCCCTATATAAGTGGGTCCAGCGGTGGAAGCCGGATCAGTCGATCACGAGGAGTCAGTCCGCCACGATCAGTGAATTGTAAAAGTCGAAGTACTAAGTCAACCAGCAGCAAGTCAGTACATTTCAGTTTAATTTTTTTAGAGTGGCATATTTGCCTAACAAACTTGCACTACGTAGGAAGATAGGGAATCTAAATCTGAAATTTGAGCCCACTAGCTCTTATAGTTTTCGAGTTCACATGGCTAGATCGACTTGGCTAGTGATCCTGATCCAGAACATATACCCTTTATGAAGTGACATGGGCTTAGGCTTGGTTGCTCTCTGGTGCAGCACCTTGTGGCCTCTGAGCGGTACAGCTGCTCACAGTTCGATTTTAAAATTGATTTAATCGATGTTTTTAAATGACCGAAAAAATCGATTCTTTTTTTAAAGAATCGATAGATAAACCAGTCTGGTCACCTTAAAGAAATTTGAATTACATTCTTAAAACTATTTTTTAGAAGCCGATTGGGATTGGACAATCCAATTTTACTTTCAGTCAGTATGAAAGACCGCCGAGCTGCCTTAAAGGGTAAAAACGTTATCAAGCTGGTCCTCACCAGTGAGAACTGTTTGAATTTAATCAAAAAATAATCGTTTCATAAAAAGGTGAATTATTTACAGCTCTACTAGGCTGTGTTTAGTGGTGCTAATTAGCTACCTCTGGTTGCCAATGCTCGGCGGGCTTCACTGGTCGTCGGCTGTCCTAGCATCTTCTGCACGTGACCTGTCTAGGGACTGCGTCTTCGTCTTGCTTAACTCATTCTTGGGAGAACACTTCCCTTTCCTTTTCGAGCTCTTCGTGTTCGTCGGCAAGGATCATTAGTGTTACCAGGTCTTCGATCTTGTACTTTCTCAGGGATATTCTCATTATCGTGGTTAATTTCTCTTTGGTTATCTCGAGGGTTTTCCGCGGAGTACACACGAGTGGCTCCCAATATCCCGAAATTCTCGTTACATTCAACCTACTATCCTTACTGCCGTTTGATTGAGATAACCCATTTTAACACCTTGCCTTGCAATAACTCGCTTGAGATTTCAAGTTTAAGTCCAGGCCGTATGTAATCGCGGACCATTCGATCTGTTCCAAGATATCGAGTGGTCTCTCTGTACAATCGAATCTGAAAGACCATTCCCTGACCTGCTTTTCGACTTAAGAGTAGTCGGGCGGGCTAGGTTCGGTGGCTCCTGAAATGTCTTTTCATCTCGGAACGTATTCCTTTTCACCCTTCCTGTTACATGCCTTTATTGCTAAGGCATGCCATTAAGCCTTCTGGTTCCTGATGTAACGAATTTCTTTTCTGTGTTTTCTTGAAACGAAATTCGTGCAGCGTTCGTCACGCCAAGTTTATAGTAAACGTGACTGGGTATAGAATAACAGTAACGCAGAATTCGGGGTATGAGGCGTTAGTTTATGGCTTGTGATATAAAGCTTATTGTATGTCTTGGCATCGTCTCGTTGTTTCCGCGCTCCGGGTAATTTCGCTTTCCCGTCCGGTTCCGCCCGTAGCTCACTCAGCTTCCTCTGAAGTTCCGTCCGGTTTATGCGAGCAGTCTCTGTAGCAAACGCCCAGAGAAAGTCAAACTTCCTTTAAGAACCTCAGCTACTTGTGTCCCAATTCGGCGACCTATGCTGTCCCGCACATCTCGACGTAAAGGTCTTGATCCTTGCTGACTTCTGAACTTCTCCTGTTACCGTTAATCCTCGGCCTCTCCTTGTCTCTTGTCACACCAGGGTCTAAAGTACACGGTTTGAACGTTTGCACTCTGTACCGTTTTTTCGTTTGCTCACGGCAGGTGCTCTTTCTTCTTTTACCAACTTTATCTGACTGATGTCGTTTGGCTATGTCTACTCTCTATCTCTCTCTTTCTCTCCACTCCCTCCTCTCTTTTTCCTCGTACTCTCCAAACTCTTTTTCCTGCAAATGCCTTTATTACGCGAATTCACTGCGTTCTAAGGAACTGCCAGGTTATTTATTTAGGTCAGTTATTCTTGGCTTTATTTGTGCGGAGTTTTTCAACTCCTTACAATATTTATAACTGAGGGACTAATTTGAGTGAAAGACGATATGACTAGATGGTCGGTACACTATCCTCTACCTGTTCATAATTTATTTATTTATTTATTTTATTTACAAATATCGACAAAATTTATCTCTTTTATATAGTTAATAATGTTTTCACAATTCTTTCTGCACCACAACATTAAAAGATTAAAGGCTATACTTTTAAAAAATATTTTTAATAACGCGTAATAAAAATACATTTGAAGCTAAAATAAATATATGAAAAAAAAAGCTTAAATATGGACAGATTGGATGTTTAAGTGGTTGGTTTTTCACCATATCGATCAATTCTGATTGTGAACCGAAATAAAGTGTCATTGCCAAAAATCCTTAACGCTACCAAATTTTTGAAAATCATTATATTTTACATATATTGCATACTTACTTGTATCAATTTCAACTGTACAGTTAAATATTGTACAGAAATTTAAAACAACACGAGTCTCAGTGCCATCAATGTAAACATTTTGAAAATCGGAGTCCTTGGTCACACCTATGTCTCGTGCATTTGTTTTTGTATTCTGAAGAGGGATTAAAATATTAGGCTTAACCAGAGAGAGAGCTAACTTCGGCAAAGCCGAAGCTTCTATACCCTTGAACCTAAATCCATATTATGAACTTACAGTAACCATAAAATATACCTTTCAATTTTATAAAGAACCCAACCAAATTTTAAAATTAAAAAAAAAATTTTAAGATCGCAGCTTTGAATAGAATAAATAGAATCTTACATACATCAAGCTTGGCTCAAAAAATAAGTTGACAACCTATCGAAGTTGTCCCCAAAGTGAGAGCAAGTGTGTGCTAGAAAGCTTTTGCTGTCAATGTGGACCGCAGTTCACTTAGCGACGAATCTCACAAGGAGAGTGTGCGAAGGCAACTACCACACGAGTATATACAAGAAGAACTGCAGATCTATTGTGATATTCCTATCATAAACGTTCGAGTAATACACCAACAGATTTTGATGACGTTTTTTAAAAGTGAAAATTGTCACCTTGTTTATTTGTGTGTCCTAGAAATTTTAGATTATGTTAAAAAGCTGTATATAAAAAACTTTAGTTTTAATACCTTTGGAATAACAAGCAAGTTAATGGAAAAAAGCTTAAAAAAGTTAATTTTTGTAACTATGAACTAATAAGCCCGCAGTCCTGTGCTATATATCGTTGAAAATGTGTTTTTAAATACTATGGACGCTTCCGAACTATAATTTTTCTTAAAACCATAGTTAAAAATCATGAACGATAGCTATAGTCGACGACCACTACTATTAGATACCCGTTACTCAGCTAAAGGCAAATTACTTATTACTTTTTAATGATTTGTCTCATTTAAGCAATTGTTGTTAAGCAGATAACACAGGAACGCTGAAACACACTCTCAAATAAGACGGCACTACTAAAATATAGTCCCCACCTTGAACCATTACCAATGTCTTTGCAATTTGACGTAAAAGTTAAAATTCCTCAGTTATTCATAACTTCCTTGACGCTTTTTTAAATAAATCTTAAATTATAAGAATTTTTGTTTTTCTTGTAATCTATTGTCCACTGTACGCTTTAATTTCGGCTTATATTGACTTATGAGGATGTTAATTCAAGTTACTCGTAGAGTAAAAGGGTATAACAGATTCGTCGGACAGTATGTAACAGGCAGAGGGAAGCGTTTCAGTCCCCACAAGATATACATATTCTTTATCAGGATCACTAGCTGAGTCGATCTAGCCATGTCCGTCTGTCTATCTGTACGTATGAACGCTAAGATCTCGGAAACTATAACAGCTAGCCTATTGGGATTCGGCATGCAGATTCCTAAGCTTTTGAGCAGCGCAAGTTTGTTTCAGCAAGGTGCCACGCACACTCTAACGCCCACAAGCCACACAAAGGGGTGGCTCCTACAGTTTTGATGCTAAAATACACATTTTAACTGAAAGGTTTTGTTCTCATCAGTACCTATCGATTGACCCAAAAAAAGTTTGCTGAGTAACGGGCCTCTTTTTCTTTTTATACCCGCTAGTAGAGTAAAAGGGTATACTAGATTCGTCGGAAAGTATGAACCAGGTAGAAGGAAGCGTTTTCGACCCCATAAAGTATATATATTCTTGATCAGGATCACTAGTCGAGTCGATCTAACCATGTCCGTCTGTCTGTCCGTCCGGATGAACCCTGAGATCTCGGAAACTATTAGAGCTAGACTATTGGGAGTTGGCATGCAGTTTCCTGAGATTCTTACGCAGCGCAAGTTTGATTCAGGAGCGTGCCACGCCTAGTCTAACGCCCACAAACTGTGGCTCCTACAGCTTTGATGCAAGAATAAAAATGTTGACTGAAATGTATTGTTCTCATCAATACCTATCGATTAAAAAAAAAAAGTTTGCCACGCCCACTTTAACGCTAACAAACTGCCCAGAAACTTCAAGAAATCCTAAACATGAAAGCGGATAATTCAGAAACTATCAAAGACAGAGATTTGGGACTTCAGATTCAGATTCCGTAGCATTGTTCGCAGCGCAAGTTTGTAACGCGAATATGCCATGCCCACTCTAACGCCCACAAGCCGCCCAAGCCTGTGGCGCCCAAAATTTATACGGATACAAAATTTTAACTGAAATGTATTGGTCTTGTCAACACATATCGATTGACCCAAAAAAAAATTTGCATTGTCCACTCTAAAGCCCAGTTGAGGTATTCGTCTATAGCGTTCTTCCTTGTTATACCCGTTACTCGTAGAGTAAAAGGGTATACTAGATTCGTCGGAAAGTATGTAAGAGGCAGAAGGAAGCGTTTCCGACCCCATAAAAAATATATATTCTTGATCAGGATCACTAGCCGAGTCGATCTAGCCATGTCCGTCTGTCCGTCTGTCCGGATGAACGCTGAGATCTCGGAAACTATAAGAGCTAGGCTAGTGAGATTTGGCGTGAAGATTCCTGAGCTTCTTACGCAGCGCAAGTTTGTTTCAGCAATGTGCCACGCCCACTCTAACGCCCACAAACCGCCCAAACCTGTGACGCCCACAGTGTCCATGCTAGATAACAAATTTTAACTGAAATGTATTGGTCTCGTCAACACCTATCGATTGATCAAAAAAAAAATTTGCCACGCCCACTCTAACGCCTATAACGCTTAAATCTGTCCACCGCCGGTAGGTGGCGTATTAAATTTAAAAATACTCAAAATGATATTCCCAATAGTATAAGATAATATGTTAAAAAACACCGAAGCTATAATTTGTTTCATATTATTTTCCCACCAATTTTAGGATCGTTCCTATGGCAGCTATATGATATAGTATTCCGATTTTGATAAAAATTAATTCAAAATTCAAAACGAATTAAAAAATGTTATTTCCAAGCAAAGGAGGTTATATGTTAAAAAACACCAAAGATATAATTTGTTTACATTTTTTTTCCGATTATTCCTATGTGAGCTATTTGATATAGTTGTCCGATCCGGCTGGTTCCGATATAAGACTTTTGGGAATATTTCAGCCCGATAGCTTTAAAACTGAGAGAGTAGTTTGGGTAGAAACGGACGGACAGACGGACATGGCTAGATCCACTCGTCTAGTGATGCTGATCAAGAATATATATACTTTAGGGGTCGGAAACGTCTCCTTCACTGCGTTGCAAACTTCTGACTGAAATCATTATACCCTCTGCAAGGGTATAATAATCAAACCTCAGTGCAAATTGGTGCTTACGCTACCGGATTTTAAGGATCGCCTTGGGGATCTTGTAAGCGGACTTCAGGGCTCGCTCTGGGGCTCTGATACTTACAATATCGGCTTGGATGCGAGCCTAGACGAGCAGTATCAGCAGTCATTGGAATCAGCGCTAGACGACTCCGAAGCAACCGAGCCACCCGCCAGCTGTAATAAGTATAACGAAAATGCTTTGGTGTGACGTACACCCAATCTACTGAGCTAGCAGCACGAATCTCGTAGCGAGCAGACCAAGTTCATTACACTTGGCGCCCAACGTGATTGTCCCAACAGTGGTCGTTTAGGTTCGACGGTGCGGAAAAACCATTCTAGTTCCTGGAGCAAGTAGAATGGTCAGCCAACATATACGGCCTGGATTTGGACCGAGTGATGGTGGAATTGCCCAAAGGAATGCTTTTGAAGAGGTTTATTGCCAACAAAAAGCAATGGAGAACATGGGCAGAGTTCATAGAAAGCTTGCACACCTATCTTCTGCCAAGAGATTTCTTCAGCAGGCTGGCGGATCACGGTATGGCAACGGAATCAGGGCTACAGCGAGTCGTTCCAGGATCACATGATCGACATCCAGACTACGATGAGGCCACTCAACTTCTCGCCGAGAGAGACCCTAAACATTATTTAGGAGTACTGTACACCGAGTCTAAGGATCTTCCTAAGGTGTCGGAACTGGATTCGCTTATGATCTTAGCTGACGAGTACGAGGAACTGAAAAAAGAGCGGGAAGCATTCGCTCAGGAGAACAAGTTCTCGAGGACCAAGTCGTCGACCCCAACGTAAGTCACGTGCAGAAGATGCGAATAATCAGGCAACCAAGATAAACGGGGAAATGACCAATGGCCACCACCACACCAAGTCCAACGGCAGCAGGCAACCAAAGCAAACGGCCAGCTTCGTTAGCGAAGAACTGGCAGACAATCTTGCTGCTCTAGGATGGATTACAAGGACGAAACGCCAAATTAGGTTGTTAGACGAAAGATGCGACGGAATATATCTACTGCTCAAAGTGGAGGTCAAATTTGGCAACAAGCACCTGACCATGAACCGGTTGATTTTACCAGGAGTTGTGGATCCGTTGGTGTTGGGATGAAACAACCTTACACAAGTCGGAACCAAAATAAAGTGTTCTGTATACGAGCTGATAATACCAGCCAGGAACCGACACAATGGACGGCGCGAGGAGAAGCTATCGGTAGCAGTCGATCAACAGGCAAGCGAGGTGGTCGTTACTACAACGTTCCTGGAAACAGAGCTAGCAGACTACAACACCATAACGGGAACATCGAATACGGCAGAGCACCAGAACAAAATGAAGGATGACAAGCCAATCAAGCAGAGACACTTCCCAGAACCCAAAAATACAAGGGGAGATCAATGCAAGGGTGGACGAACCCATACAGCTCCCCCATCGTGATGGTAAAAAAGAAGACAGGAATGTGAAGGCTGTGCGTCGATTTCAGACAGATCAACGCGATGTCTGTAAAGGATGCCTACCCGATGTCCGCATTAACTACATCCTGGACCAATTGACGGGATCTAGGTACATCAGCAGCTTGGACCTGAAGGATGGACACTGGCAGATTCCACTGAAAGAAAGCAGTAGGCAGTACACGGCTTTCACAGTGCCAGGCAAAGGTTTGTTGCAGTGTAGGCTAATGCCGTTTGGGCTCAACTCTACGTCGGCAACCTTCCAGCGGGTTTCGGACGAAGTAATTGGCCCCGAAATGTCACCTCACGCATTCGCTTACCAGGATGACATATTAGTGATCGTACGCTAGAAGAACACATGGAAAACCTAAGAGAAGTGTTCCGTCGTCTAAAGGAAGCAAACCTGAGGCTGAGTCCGGAAAAATGTCAATTTTATAAGAAGGAACTGCTGTACCTGTGACATCGAGTGACTAGCGGAGGAATAGAAACAGATACGGAAAAAGTAGCCGCCATCGCTGAACTGGAACCATCCTCAACTGTCAAAAAACTCAGGTAACACCTGGGAGTATCGTCGTGTTACCACCGACATGTAACAGATTTTTTCAGAATCGTCACACCCCTGATTGATCTGCTACGCAAAGGCAGCAAGGACACCGGAGCACCAGATGGCGTTTGGGGAAGTGAAGGCAAGACTCGTGGCAGACCTATTGCTAGCATGCCCGGACTTTAGTATAACTTTCACCCTACAAACAGACGCCAGCGACTACGGCATCGGAGCAATATCGCAAGCATCGGAGCAATCGGAGAAATATACCACATAGAGCGGACAGCGAAGACGTCGCGTCGTGGAAGATGTGTGTCCCAATGTCGCTACGAGAAACAGTGTTGAGGGAAAACCACGACGCACCATCGGAGGGACACATAGGAAGTCGGAGGACAATTGCACGGTTGGCAGCCTGATACTACTGGCCAGGCATGCATACAGACGCACGAGCCCATGTGAGGAAATTCCAGACTTCCATGAAATTTAAACCAAGTCAAATGCAGGCGCCTGACAAAATGCTAACTTGTCCCACTAGGCAGTGTGACAGCCGAGTCACTTAAGAAGGTTATAAATGGTCGGAACGGACAACGGAGTGCAGTTTGCGATACGTACTTTCAAAAGTTTCCTGAATGAGATGGGTATCAGACAGCAATTCAACGCGCCCTACACACCACAAGAGACCCCAGATGAAAACGCCAACAAACTTAGGAAGATCTTTGAGATCGTACAGCGAT